CTTGTATATAATTTGAATAGTTATTGGTCAAAATTTGTATAAGTTGACTTTTTCCCTTGGTTGAAATATGAATGTCATTCTAGACAGAGGAAAATGATAGAAAAAGGTGGACAATAGTTTCTCATTTGTTTTAACATGCCGGCTTGGATTGGACTCGATCTCCTTTTTGTAACTAGCAATTGTTACCAAGTTACCATTACCTTCTCTAGTTACGTTACAAACTATAAATCACTTTTGATGATAAAAAAGAATTGCTATTCCATTTTGAAACAATCATTGCCAAAGTTCAAGATAACATACATGAAGGTGTCCATGGAAAAAAAAACTGATTTCATGGTAGGGTGCTCTGATAGTCTTACTCAGGTCTAGGTGAAGGTTTGCGGATTCCCTCACTGGGCTACAAAGGAGAAAGCTGTGGAGGAAGTGGCTTATTTGGTTGGAGAAATTATGGAGGTGGACAAGTCTTCTCCATACCTGGGGTAGGACCTATAAGACTGAAAGTCTCATGTAAAGACCCTAAAGCGATCAAAGGGTATATCGATCTATTGTGTATTTTAACGGGAAAAAGGTTTCAAGATCTATTGCGGATATTAGCTATTAGCTAGCTAATTTTTAGTGCTAATGGATCCAACAGGCTCTTATCTTGCGCCTTCAGTCATGTAATTTGGGGACAGATGCTTGCGCCTTAGGGCTATACTCCTTGCTCGCCTCACCGGATGGCTTTTCTGTCGTGGTAGCTGCGCTCACGGAAGAGGATACCAAAAACGATACGCAGTTGGCGGAGCCAAGGGGGGGCTGGCAGGGGCCATGGCCCCCCCTAATATTTCACAACAACAAAAATTAGTAGTATGACTTAATATTATTTATTTATATTAAGAGGATGATTATATAAAATTCTTGTCATATATACCTATTAATATCTTCTAGATAATATAATCATACAAAACACAACTAGATAATAAAATTATCGTAATGAAAAAGACCGAGTCGGTACTCAAAATTTACAAAGTCACCCTAGACGTCTTGTTGTTAACGGGCATGTCACTTACCACTGAAAAAATAGCGCCTTAGATCCTAGGATACATATAAGAAATTGCGAGCACCCGTTCAAGTCAATGAATTAATTCCGACAGTCATCACAAGAAACCTAACGAGTTGAGTTGCACTTAGTTTTCACATGTTGGCTCTTTTGGCCGGCCCCCCCTAAGTATAATTCCTGGCTCCGCCACTGACGATATGGCGTGGCTTTGCTCGTTGTCTCTTCTGGTCAGCTGGCAACTCTAGAAGGAGAGAAACACAAGAACTTTCAGGAACGAAGTTGCAAGTCCGAGTCGTCCAGGCTATCGTTGATGAGGCTAATCTCTGGGGTCTTATGGGCTTCTGGCTGCTTTGTAGGTTGCTTCCACTGCCATCGTCTGGTTCCTCGTTACAGACTGTGTGTTTGTAAACTAAGCTCATCGGCCGTTAACTAATTTTTGAGTGTTTCAAGGTCTTTGTATCATCTTGATGTAACGATCTTGAAATTAATAAAACTTTTCTTATCGAAAAAACTAATTTTTGAGGGTGTTCTGGTTGCTGCTAATCCTTGAATTACTGGGATTTGTTGTAAGCTGATCATTTCTACACCATCTGAATGAAATATATGCCACAAAGACATGTTCGCAAAGAAACGTCGTTACCGCCAAATCGTACGTCAAGCCAGCGGTGATAAAGTTTATTCCCACTAATTTCAAGCCTGCGGTGAACAGGGATTACGAAGCAATGGTTATGTTGATTCTGCAGTAGTGCTCAGTCGTTTATGATACAGGATGAGTTGGGTGTAGGTGTTTTCTGCGCTTGTTTTTGTAAGCCTGTAACCCAGCAGATCCATTATATGCTTTCAATATACTCGTTCTGTCCGGGAAAACATGCAACTATGGATTGTGTGCCAAAAAAAAGTTGTTCATATTTGACCAAGTTTTTAGTGAATAATATTCATATTTATAACTCCAAATTAATTTATTATGCAAATATATTTTATATTTTATCTAATGATATTTATTTGATGTTATAAATATTTATGTATCTATAATAATTGGTCAAACATGATATAATAAAACATAATACTATGGTAGAATTGCAGACGGAGGGAGTAATAAACAGGGCCAAACGTTTGGTGTAAAAAAACATACCTCTTGTCCTTGAGACAGTTGTTGAGTTCTGCGGCCAGGTCCGTGTCATTCAAATCCTGTCCACTTAGGCCCCCCTCTTCCCTCTCTCATTGTTCGTTTTGTCCTTTGGCCACCTACGCGCTTGAGCAACACCTTGATATCGCTGCTGGCCTCGAAGGCCTCAGACAGCGACACCATCGCTTGAGAGGCTGAGACAGCGACACCATCAGCCACCGATACCCGCGCTTGGGCAGACAAAGCGCCTCGCGGTTGATGACTTGATGCCGTACCGCGCGTGGAGCTCGGTGACGATGGTGATGGCGCGGGCGCCCAGTGCGTTGATGTCGCAGGCGAGGCTGTCAGGTGACCAAATCCGATGGCCTGGGCGTGCATGCCGTCGCTAGGCCTGGACTTGATGCGGAGCCACGTAGCGGCGGTAGCGCCGCGTCGTAGGCGAGCTCGCACAGCTGCTTCATCCACTCCCGGACGAAGTAGTCCACGGCGCCGTCCTTGGGGAGGAGAGGTCTTGTCGTCCCGCAGCTCGGCGACTTCGCCTCCGACGCCGCTGAGCGGACGGTACTCCTCACTCAGGAGCAGCCCATCATTCCTCAAGATGGTCTGGGCTGCCACCTCCATGATCAGGGCAGATCGCTGTATATCTGTTAACACTGGATTTTGGTCGACTTCGGAAGATGACAGGTGGACCCGCATACAGGAAGAAGGACATTCGGCAAACAAAACGAGCGGTCGGCTAAATACTTGTGCGGTCGGTTACTTCATAAGGTGGTGACTCCATTCGGGAAAGCAGAAGATGGCAAGCAAAGCCGATCGAAAAGATGAAAGTTGTAATAATAAAGGACTCTGAGAGTTTAGGGCAAGGAATCGTAGTTTCCAAGTTTGTTTAAGAGTTTCTTTGTAAATCGTAGTCTTTTAGGACTCGTGTTTTGTGTAGGGTATAAATATTGACCCTCGACCATTGTAATAGACGTTCACAACCAAATCAATACAACCGGCTCCGTGTCAACTTTCGAGTCCTTTTATCGTGTCGTTGAGTTCTTCGAGAGGAGTCATCGATCCGTCGACCTCCGTAAGTTCCGACAACCTTGTTATCATGTTTAGTATCATGCGGTGGATTTAGACGTGATGCAAGTAGTCTTGTTTGTTTTCAATGATCGTGCGGCGGATCTTTGCTTGACAATCAAGAAGTCTTTGCTTATGCTTTGTTTATGAGTAGATACCGTGCGGCAGACGTTTGCTCAATATGCTTAGTGAAGGCAAGACAGTTATCGGCTCTATTAGATACGGCAAAATCTAAATAGATTCATTAAGTTATCCTGTGTTGCATGTTTTAAATATTTTATATATTTGTAACACACTTCTGCCCAATCTAGATTGATATTGTTCGGCCCTCTCTTATGGTTTTATTCGTGCTTCAATGATCATTACTTTCGTATTACCTTTGCAAATAGATAACATGCTCGTAATGGCTGAATTATTTTAATCTAGATTGTCACATGTCGTGGGTTCATGCATGTTAATTACGTTTAAGCTTTGACGAAACTAGGTGTCGTGCGGCAGATGCAGGTTTTAGATTAGTTTAATCGTGTTTATTTGCACGTTCCTTCTTCATGGACCCCAACTCGGCTGGATTGCTGAGCTTGGTTATGCATTAACTCATAATTAATTTCACTTGTTCAAACATGTCTTCCCATGCACATGCATTCTGCAATCGGATCTTTACGTGTGCTCATCTTACGATTAGCCGAATGGTTTATAAACTTGCTGGCAGATAGCTTCCTATAGCTGTATGTCGTTGTAAGTGGCTTCAGGGCCGTATATATGGAACTGTCTGGTCTCACCTGACATGTTCCGGTTTGGCATTTAACTGTTTTATCCCTTGTTAGTTTTTTTAGGTCAAACTGACTAGCACGTTTCCGGATCACGAAGCACCCGGGCACCCAATTGAAGCCACGCTTTCTGGCTTGCTGTGTGTGGGGCACAGTACGTCACATTTTGTGTCAACAATATCTCTCACACAAACGCCCCATGGTAAGGTCTCCGGTTCCGGAAGGCAATGTTGCGCTGGAGCGAGAGAGGAGCCGATAGAGAACGTATATGGGAATATTGCCTAATATACCGATGGGTGCTAGACGAGGAAGTTTAGCTAGGGTCGACCGAATTGTTGATTTTATATGTAGCAGCCCTTTTCTCTATGAACAGCAAAGATGACTAGACTAATCTATCATCCACAAATTAAATCCCGGGTAGTTCGTAGGCCTCGAGAGTCGTCTCTCGTCTTAGTAAATTTTATAAGCTTTCGTGCATCATGCATATACTGGTTAACGCTAACAGACATACAAGCAGTCAATCATATAACATACTCCTAGCTTAATAATACAGTAATATATACATGGCCGTCTCGCTCGAGTAGATTTTTTCTTGTTTTAATTTGGGCCCACAACGACCTGCTCCATGAATGAATTAAACCCATTTGCAGCCGTGACAATCCAACATATATACAGCTGTTCTGGCCGGATTCCCGCGCCAAACACGCGATGCCATATATATGGACTTGTTAGGCGCTCTGATCTATGTATATACGTTAGCAAATGGTTTTATACTACATCTTGCTTGGAGAAGATCTATGATGAAGGACGATTTTAATATGTATGCACGCTTGACGCGTCTAAGGACGACAAATTTATTTTTCTTTAATTTACCTAAAGCAGGTCAGATGGAGCTTTCATTCACTAAATTAAGTTTCCATTTGAACAACTACTAGACACGCTACAACCAAACCGAGGATAACTATTCAAATTAGAGCCCTTTTACAATGGTTAGAAACGCTTCCTAACGCTTTATGATGCCTACCCAAAATAGTTATTTTTGTTGATTTTTATTCATCAAGGGCAATATCGTCACACCAAGTGCAAGTGGTGACTGGAAAAAAAAGTTACCTTTGGCGAGGACATCGGCATGGTCGTCGGCCCCGGACCCGAAGACGTGCACGGCGGCGCTGGAGCTCCAGACGAGCATGTGCAGGTCCTTCCTCTTGGCCGCCACGGCCACGGCCTGCGGCTGCGGCGAGTGCCCGCCGGCACCCTTCTCCTCGTCCCCTACCGCCGCCGCTCCTCCTCCTCCCTTGGCACCGGCGTCGACGATGTTGAAGAAGTCGGCGTGGTTGAAGCTGGAGCCGCGCGGGGTGGGGTTGCGCGATGACTGTAGCGAGTAGGTCTCGACGCCGGAGAGGTTGGAGACCCGGGGCTGCATGGACTGCGAGTGGGAGTGGGAGTGCGAGCACGCGGCCTCGGAGCGTGAGCTGGTGGATTTGCGCACGGTGACCCGCACCTGTCCGGTGTCGCCGCCGCGCGAGGAGGCGCTGGCGGCGACGGGGACGGCGTCGGCCTCGAGCTCGATCTCGCCCCTAGCGAGCGAGACGACGTCGGAGTCGACGCGGAAGGAGACGATGGAGACGACAGCACCGTCGGGGAACTGGTCGAGCACGAGCGCGCGCGCGGCGCGGTACTCGAAGAGGAAGAGCATGAGTGTGTACCAGATGATGCACTGGAGGACGACGACCTGGACCATGAGTGCGCCGGCGTCGGTGGAGGCGGAGGACGAGGACGCGGCTCCGCCGCCGTACATGCCGTGGAGCAGCGGGATGCCCATGACGAGCGTGTTGGGGAGCGTGGAGAGGGAGAAGAGCGTGATGCTCCAGTCGAGGCCGAGGAAGTGAGAAGAGGAAAGGCGGGAGGTGAGGAAGAGGAGGAGGAGGACGGCGAGCTTCTGCAGCGTGTCGGCGACGAGGAAGCACAGGTTCATGGTGAAGTGGCTGTTGGTGGAGATGAAGTGGAACGAGAGGAGCGGGACGGCGAAGAGCGCCACGAAGCAGTTGATCCCCGAGCACTGGTCGGGGGTGAAGATCCACCACCAGCGGACGGAACCGTAGGCTAGCGTCATGGCTACGTACAGCCGCACCACCGCCATCAGCACGTGGTACAGGGTCAGCGCCGTGATCATGGCTGCGGATGGCGGCGGCGGCATAGAGACGGAGAACACAGAGACGGCGGCGAATGAACTCGACGAAAATATTCATCTTTTTTTTAAAACCAAATATTCACTGTACTACTCAAAACATTATTTTTATAATTGTGGATTTACCATTTTACCCTTGATTAAAAAAATAACTACGAAAAATAAATTATCACTCTTTTATTTGAAGTCCCAATCCTCTCAACTTTGGAGGCGTTGGGAGGCGTTACGACGCATATGGGCCCACCGACCATAGACACATCCACCGCTTCCCGACGCCTCCCTCATTGACGCCTCTCAACGCCTTCCCTCATATGGACCCACCAATTATTGACACAGCTAACGCTTCCTGACGCCTCCTCAACCATAGTAAAAAAGTCTTTTCAAATTATAGTCTTTACTTTATGCATATGATGTCAGGATTGGTAAGAAAAATTTTCAGAGATGGTTCAACTCCGTGCTGCATGCAAACAAGCTATTTAGAACATGAGAAGCTTTGGATCCATGTTCGAATGAAAGGAGTTAACTAGTAGGGATTGAATGGGCAACCCTTCCAACCAAATCAACAAACTTACCTGCCTGGCCGGTTTCAGGCAGTTCGGGTCGCTTCTGTCGGTCCTCTGAGTAGCTAGGACAGCAGGCGACGATGGTGATGGCGCGGGCGCCCAGGGCGTTGATGTCGCAGGCGAGGCGGTCAGGTGACCAAATCCGATGGCCTGGGCGTGCATGCCGTCGCTAGGCCTGGACTTGATGCGGAGCCACGTAGCAGCGGTAGCGCCGCGTCGTAGGCGAGCTCGCACAGCTGCTTCATCCATTCCCGGACGAAGTAGTCCACGGCGCCGTCCTCGGCCTCGGATTGCATGGGGAGGAGAGGTCTTGTCGTCCCGCAGCTCGGCGACTTCGCCTCCGACACCGCTGAGCAGACGGTACTCCTCACTCAGGAGCAGCCCATCATTCCTCAAGATGGTCTGGGCTGCCGCCTCCATGATCAGGGCAGATCTCTGTATATCTCTCACACAAACGTTAACGCCCCATGGTAAGGTCTCCGGTTCCGGAAGGCAATGTTAAGCTGGAGCGAGAGAGGAGCCGATAGAGAACGTATATGGGAATATTGCCCAATATACCAATGGGTGCTAGACGAGGAAGTTTAGCTAGGGTCGACCGAATTGTTGATTTTATATGTAGCAGCCCTTTTCTCTATGAACAGCAAAGATGACTAGACTAATCTATCATCCACAAATTAAATCCCGGGTAGTTCGTAGGCCTCGAGAGTCGTCTCTCGTCTTAGTAAATTTTATAAGCTTTCGTGCATCATGCATATACTGGTTAACGATAACAGACATACAAGCAGTCAATCATATAACATACTCCTAGCTTAATAATACAGTAATATATACATGGCCGGCTCGATCGAGTGTATTTTTTTTCTTGTTTTAATTTGGGCCCACAACGACCTGCTCCATGAATGAATTAAACCCATTTGCAGCCGTGACAATCCAGTATATATATATACAGCTGTTCTAGCCGGATTCCCGCGCCAAACACGCGATGCCATATATATGGACTTGCTAGGCGCTCTGATCTATGTATATACGTTAGCAAATGGTTTTATACTACATCTTGCTTGGAGATGATCTATGATGAAGGACGATAAAAAATACGTATGCACGCTTGACGCCTCTAAGGACGACAAATTTATTTTCTTTAATTTACCTAAATTAAAGCAGGTCAGATGGAGCTTTCATTCACTAAATTAAGATTCCATTTGAACAACTATACTGGACACTCTCCAACCAAACCGAGGATAACTATTCAAATTATAGTCTTTACTTTATGCATATGATGTCTGGATTGGTAAGAAAAAATTTCAGGGATGGTTCAACTCCGTGCTGCTGCTGCATACAAACAAGCTATTTAGAACATGAGAAGCTGTGTATCCAATGGCTTTCAGTGCTCCATCGTCACAGCATCGCCTATAAATAACTTCAAATTACAAAATTATCAACAGAAAAAATATGGATTAGGTCGGCCACTACAACTTTGGTATTGACTATTTGAACAATCAAGGTCGTTTAGAAATTCTAAATTTTGTATTTCAAAATATATGAACTTACGACACATATTTGAGACGTACTCTAAATGATTTTAAATAGAAAACTTTTCCACTACAAAGTTGTAGATTGTATTGAGAACTACAACTTTAGTATAGACCATGTCAACATCTGAGGTGGTTTGAAATTTTAAATTTCAAAATTCGTGAGCTTAAAACTATATTTTGGGACTATAAACAGTTTGAAATATAAAAACTTTCCTACTACAACGTTGTAAATCGTGTCGAGAGCTATAATTTTAATATAAAGTTTTTCCCATCCTAGTTTATATGAAAAAGTTATGAATTATGTTTGGATGCAACTATTTATACAGACGGGTATCATAAGATGCCCGCAGCTGGAAATCGATTTTAGAAGACGGGCGCTTAGAATTGTCGTATCCGTTTAATAGCAATTTTCAGAAGCGGATATGTTAAGGCGTCCGCCTCTGAAAATCGATTTAGAGATGGAGTGTCCTAAGGCGACCGCCTCTGTTAATCATGATTTTAGAGGAGGTCACCTTGGAACGTCCGCCTCTATAAATGATCTTGTTATTTACGAGCACTCTATAAATGATCTTTGGAGACGGGTATTTTCCTCAAGGTCCCCTAATCATTTGCGGCAGTGATTGTTTGGTGTGCCTGCCTCCGTTAATCAGAGAGGTTGTTCCCTAAAATCTTTTTTCTAGAATTCTAGTACTAGAGTTGTCGAGCTCCCCTATCCTCTCCCACTTTGGCCTTCCTTGTTCTATGCCTTGCGAATGAGATGATCACCTAGTGCGGTGGTAGTTGTTTCTCTCCATTGCCTCCAACTTGTGTTGCCGCCATGGATTTCAGTTGCTTGTCACCTCGTGGAGGGGGCCCTAGCCAAGATTGCCATGGCCGCCTCCAGTGGAGGACCTGGCACTAAGGCCACTAGGACTATGGCCGTCTTAGCCGTTAATTACAGTGGACAAATTACTATTTTTTAAGGAAATAAATTACTATTTTTTTATAGCCAAGCACAATTAGCATTGATGTCTAATGTAATTTGTCCGTGGCCACCTCCTGGATCTGCCCGTGGCCACCTCCACCTTTCACCATCTCCCTCACGAGCTTCGCTTGAGAAGGGCGAGTTAACAAGCACTGTACAAGCTTTGGCCTCAGGCAGAGCCGCTCCACGTGGCCGTGACCGTGAGGAGCTGAGTTTTTCGTTTTCACTATGATAGGCCAATAAATCATTTTCCATAAATTGAAATTGATGCTTCCGACAACATAGCCTAATTAATCATTTTTCCATAATTTGAAAAACAGTCATAAAAAGTAGCAAAAAAAACCAGGAGAAGCTAGGTAGAGATTCTTTGCGTGCATGCGCGCTCGGCGCTTCCTCGGATTCAAAACTCCGGATGCCTGCCGCCCCGCGGCCTCCACCAGTCGACGAGCTCACGCGCTGTGCACCAGTCGCGCTGCCTGGAGACCGCCCTCGCCTCCACGGCTCCTCTGCTCTTCTCCCGGGTGAATGCCGCCAGATGCATGCTACATATGGGCATCGCTGGATGTGTCGTACGATGGGTTCTTGGCAAACTTGCTGGCCGCTGGGTCGATGCTTTCTTTAACGCGTTGGCTCGGCTTCACCCGGGTTCCCGGTTCATGCTCCTTGGTTTCTCCGCTCTCCTTTCTTCCTCCGATCCCTCATGCTGCATTCCACGTCTTTTGGTGCCTTAGTTTATTTTATATTTTGCCGCCGTCGACTTGGGTGGAGAATTGGAGATAGAGCCAACACCGACGACGACGGCCTCAAGGTGAACGCGGGCAATGGTAGAGGTGCGTACGGACATCGGTGCGCTTCCATTTCTGCATGTCCACCCCTGCACCATCGATGGCCCCTCCCTCCATGCTCTCCTCAGGCCCATCGTGATACCCTCTGCATCCAGCACCATCCAACCAAGGTATAGTCTCCCGGACTCTACGTGTGTGTGAGATATAGATAGATTTCCCCATGCTGATTTGGTTGATTGGATGTAATGAACTGGATTGGAAAAGTTATACAAACAAGAACAATGGTGTGTTTCTGTTTGCTTCATCGTGGAAATCAAGGGGAGGATGTCTAGTGGGGGCGCTGGGTGCTGCTTGCTCTGATTTGGGAGATTCAGAGTACATCAGTACTTTGGCAGATGGGATGGGGAATTAGGAGCAGCTGCTTCGAATGAGAGGATGCAGACAGGTTTGCTCTCCTTGAGGACGAAGGGGCTGCTGGTGTGCTTGGTGGCAAAGTGAAGCGACCCGATTTCCGCGAAGGGAAATCCATAGTGTCGAAGTGTAACAAGACCGTTGTAGATCATATTACCCAAATTCCAGTCGAATATCACATCCATACAACGATAATATCAGAGTACAAATAGTGCGGAATTACATAAATTATTACATCGCTGCATTGACGGAATCAAAAGTAGCATTCATTCAGAACAGCTTGAAGATAAGATCGCCAAACTCGAGCGTAGGAACGAACCCCTCAACCGTCAAACTCCTCGGAGCTATACTCCTCAGCAGAACCTGTGTGCCAAAATTTATCAGTACGATTTGTACTGGCCACTCCCAACCCTATGAGCATTGCTTTGTGGAAATTGGAATGCAAGTTGGATATAATCAAAGGGAACCTATAAGGTTGGGGTTTCCTATGTATTAGCATTTCAAGTATATATTAACAGTGGGTCAAGTTTTAACACCTTTCACACACCCATTCCACCTCATTCCCATTCCAGAGCCAGGTTTCGATCCTGGGATCGATATACCACCATCTCCACACCATCACCACACCACACCCATACCATCACTCAGTCGACGGGCCAACTCCCTCTCGGCACTGTCTCAAGGCCCGTAGCCCCTGGCTACGTCCGAACTCTCACTCCCAGAGGGAGAAAAGAATGACTCATCTCACTATCTAGTTTAAGCGAAACCCAGGAAAGGTTCATAGCCGACAAGTCGGCATATGTATCGATCGATCAACCATACACTCTGCAGAGGTTTTACATAACCACAAGATCCGCCTTCCTCGCTGACCATCGTCAACTGGGCTGATTCCGGTCACTTGCTAGCCTAGGATAATGCCACTCTACCATTCAGCCCTGGTACACCCCAAGTCTAATTTGGGGTGGCTGAAACTGTGAGTCATGAGCCGGGTCCACAAGGTCTCCATGAAGTCTCGGAAGGGTGTGGGGGAAATCCTCCGCGCCCCGTACCTCCTTACACTGTCCGCTATCAACCTAGCAGTAGTGGCAATATCCTACCAAGTAGTCCGGCCGTCCCGCACCATATAGGGCGAGTGGTACGTAAGGTTTCCCGGTGAATCTGAGTACTAGTAAGTCCTTAGGGATGATCAAGCCAGAATGTCTTCATCAGGGTTTCCATTTACCGTGCCACCACAGCACCTCCACCCTGGGCTCCTCCCATCACAGGATCACACCAGGGCCACCTCATATACCATTTACCCACCACAGGTATCCATTCCAGGGGTGCCCAGGTAGCACCCCACGGCAAGACTTGCCCCAGGCTCGTCGTATACTCCAACTTGGTCGACACAACCCTCACCCTCCACGCACCCAAGTCACACACGCAGCACTCTCCCCAATCACCAGTTTCCACCACGCATCAATGTAGTGCAAGCGTAGTAGAAGTAATAAGCAATGAAATATAATAGCAAGCGTGTGACTAGCCTAACAGCAGGATGAGCAGGGGTAAGGTTGCGTCAAGGTAAAGGCCATCAAGAAAGCATACTACCATGCAAGTCCTATCATAGTGTGATTACAACAATAAAGTAAAACACTAGCATTTCTATTTTAGCCATGCGTAATAGGTGCTACAATGTTGGGTGGGATGTGGCACCTTCAGTGTAGTCGTCTCCGTACTCCTCACGGTACT